TATTTGAAAAATGAACTAGTTATAAAATACTTTTTCTAATATATATTCATGAATTAAATTATATTTTATTTTTAAATTCTTTTAACTCCATCCCTTGATCTTATTAAATTTAAAAGATGAATAAAAGGAAATATTTTGATATTAATTTCTATATGTTTTTATAATAAAGTTTTATGACCATGAAAATCCTGCAAAAAGTGGTGGCCTATCTACCAATTTATTGCTCTGAAATGTACCATTACCAAATTGTACAGCTCAAACCCTAAACAAAAGTAGTACTAAATAAGGCAAAAATGATGAATAATTGTTTTTTTAATAAATACCTTGACTTATAAAATCAGATCCAAATAAAAAAAAAATTGTGTAGAGAGGTCTGCCCTGCCAGTACCACCAATATTATAAAATGGAAGGAGTTGGCATCCACAAATTTCCCCCCAGCAGCCATTCAATTTCAAGCTCCCCTCTACTTACCACATTTTTCCTTCTTCAAATTTGAAGTTTCATTTTCTTCTTCGTCTACAGAGAACAAATCAAGGAAAGATCCAAAGCAGATGCTGCAACTGTTCTTCACGGTGGCTTTCTCGGCTGTGCCGTTGACCCTTTATGTGCCGCCGATTCGGAGCCTAAGCCTATTCGTGGAGGCGATCGAAGATATGCTCCGAGAGACCAGCTTGAATACACTTAGGCTTTATCCTCGTCTCCATCTAGGGTTTTCTCGGATCTTCCACTCCGTTTTTTCACTTATCTAGGTAGATTTCTTTCTTCTTTTTTTCAACAAGTCTCCCCCGTCCCTAAATGTATCTATACTTTGGTTTTTCTTTTCTTTTCTTTTTGATTTTGTTGGCTTGTTGTTGTGAATTTGGGATGCTTCTGGAGATGATACAGTTTTAAATTAATGGTTTCTCTTTAAAAAGACTCTGGAATTTTGTGATTCAGCCATCTTTTTTTTCTGCAATATTGAGGTTTGCTTTTGTTGTTATGCTCATGGTTCACGAAGCACGAATGAATCCTTTACTTTTGTTGTGTGGGTAAATTTCATTTTATTATTGATGTTGGTAATTTATGGGGTTTAAGGAAAGAGTAAATATATATTCCCAATAATCTGATACTTGTCGGGTTAGCCATTGTTGTTTAGAAAATATAAATGGATATTGTCCTCTTGGGCATTTTGTTTCTCTGTATGTAAAAGTTTACGAAACTAAATGTTATTAATTAATTTGATTTTGATGATGCTGTTGTACACTAAAGCTCTAATACACCTTTTAAAATTGAATATTAATTTGATTAGTAGATGTTTTTAGATATGTTCTAAATTATTTCAGGGCATATAAAATATTCCTACCACTATTCTATGTTTATGGTTATTATTACATTATTTATTCTGAAACCACAAAAACAAAAAGTGACAGAGCAGCGGACACGATGAGGAATTTAAGAAAATAAACGAATGAGCAAGAAATTGGCGAAATGATAATGCGTGGCAGTCTTTTTATGTGATCAAAAAATCGTATTGTCGGTTTTTTATTATTTAAATAATAAAATTAGTAAAAAATTATTGAAAATATTATTATTTTTATATATTTTATTATTTTTTATCTATTTTGTTATTGTTAGGCACTTTATCGGAAATGTAAAAAAAATTAATGTTTTAGGTAATTTTTTATCGATTTTATTATTTAAATAATAACAAAATCGGTAACACCTTTTCTTAATTGTATATTAAGGGTGTCACACTGCATAACTTCTCAAGAAATAGTTCATTTAATTAAATATATTTTATTATTTAAATTTATCTCGAGTTTAAATCTTTTTTGTATATTTGTTCACATTAGATGGGCGAGAGTAACTAAAAATATTTAATAAAAATGTTATTTAATTTATTTTTTAAATCGAGAAGCATGGTGATTTTCTCGAAAAATCACATTTTTCTTAAATATTTACGTGTCAGACACCTTTTGAGATAATATTCTCGATCTAACACCTTTTGCAGAAAGACACAACCCATGCACCGAGCCTTACGCTGATGTGGCGCCACGTGGTATAAGGCGCGACCTATGAATTGAGTCTTAAGCCATCTGTAAAGACTGGGTGCTAGTTTCGTAATTTTCTAAAACTAATATGTAATTAATTTTTATTAGGGTATTTTTGTGTAAAAATGTCAACTTTTTAATTTATTTTTTGTGTGCAAAAAAGTTTCTGTATTAAAATCTTTAAATCTATTTTTGTAAATTATTTTATAACTCGACAAATTTTGAGTTTTGGATGAAATTACACAATACATATAATCTAGTATATGAAAACTTTGAGCGTAAGTAATTTAAAATATAAATAATTTTATAAAAGTTTTATAACTAGTATTTCTTTTACAAAATGATAATGATGATGATGATGATAATAAGAAATATTTTATAATTTAAAAAATTATAAATTTCATATATTTTTGAAAAATTTATCTACTTTTAAAATTAATTGTTTAAAAATATAAAAAAATATTAAAATAAATTTTTAATTACAATTGAGGGATCAAATGAACTATTATTTTTTAACAACAATTAATAATGTTTATTCATTTTTAATAAAATTAAAAATTAAAATTTATTTTATATTTTTTAAAATTAATATTAGAAAGAATATTTTAAATATATATGTGATATTTTTATCTTTACATTTTTTTATTAAATTTTATTAACTTTTAATTCTTTTTTTATTTTTATTGAATTTTAAATATATGAGTTATAATTCAAATTAATCATTTATTTTTCTATTATTCAAATTAATTAAGAAAAATTATGGTAAAATATTTATAAAAGAAAAGTATAAATAAATACATAAAAATCTAAAGATTTTTCTTTCTTTTATGTTACTCTCTAAACTTGTATCAAAATTCAAAAAAAATGTAAAACTAAAAAATATCACCTATATATTTAAAATATTCTTTCTAATATTAATTTTAAAAAATATAAAATAAATATTAAATTTCAATTTTATTAAAATTAAATTAAAATTATTAACTGTTGTTAAAAAATAATAATTCATTTGATCCCTTAATTGTTATTAAAAGTTTATTTTAAAATTTTTTATATTTCTAAACAATTAATTTTAAATGTCAATAAATTTTTTAAAAATATATGAAATTTATAATTTTTAAATTATAAAATATTTCTTATCATCGTCATCATTTTGTAAAAGAAATACTAGTTATAAAACTTTTATAAAATTATTCATATTTTAAATTGCTTACCCTCAAAGATTTCCTATACTAGATTATACGTATTGTGTAATTTCATGTAAAAATAAAATTTGTCAAGTTATAAAATAATTTGTAAAAGAAAATTTAAAGATTTTAATGTAGAAAGTTTTTTTCACACAAAAAAAAATAAATAAAATTGACGTTTTTACATAAAAATCACCATAAAAAAGTTAATTACATATTAGACACTATTTTAAAAAAATTTATGAAACTAACACATGATCTTTATACGTCACACAAGGCGCAGTGCATGGGTCGTGCCTTTCAACACATGACGTAAGGCGCGGTGCATAGGTTGCGCCTTTCTGCAAAGGGTGTTAGATCCGAAATATTATCTCAAAGGTGTCTGACACGTACATATTTAAGAAAAATATGATTTTTCGAGAAAATCGTCATATTGCAATCTGCTGCTGGTCACTCTCCTCAGCGCCTAAAATATTTTATAATTGCACCATAATTTTTGTTGACACGAGAGTAATGTTCTTAATTTTAACATACCATAATTATACATTATATTTTTTTGGACGAAACCAATTAGTTTTATTTAAACTAGTAAATATCACAAATTACATTAAAGATTTACGATCATAATCGTAAATTAAATACATAATTTTTTTTCTATAATCATTTAAACAAAATTAACAACTTAAGATCATAATGACTATATGAGGAAAGATTAAAAATACTCGAATAAATATAGATATAAATGTATATGATCGCATCGATAAACGAACCATAAAAGTATATCAAGCTATTGAAAGACCGTCGACAAGATCGCAAATCAAACTCGAACGACATGAAAAGCTATCCACGGACGTAAAATGATATTCAAATCTACTTCGAGGGTCTAAAGCAGGGAAGATCAATAAGATATCAGATAAGCAACATCTTGATTAGTTGGGGCGATATCAAATCAACCCTTCAAAAAAATATATAAAAAAAAGTCAAACGATCAAAAAATATACCAAAAGACAAAAGAAAACGTACTACAAAAAAACATATGAAAATGTGTCATATAGATAGACTTATTGAAAATAAAAAAAAATAAATATACAATATAAGAAAGGAAAAAGATAATAAATAGATATAGACAGTCAACAACCACCATTGATGTTGGTGCTGTCATCAATTAACAAAAAAAAAATGAACGACAAACCATTAAAGAAAATTATGTTTTTCAAAAGAGAAAAAACTATCTAATTTATACATTATATTTTAAATATTTTAGAGTGATCATATTATTACTTAGACTTTTACTAATATATTGACAAAAAGTCTCGCATACACAGTTGTTGTTCGAATTTAAAGCTTCAAAAAAATAAAAACAATATTATTTTTATCTCAACGATTATATAGCAATCTTAATTGTACACATAATATGTAAAGTTTAGTCTTATATAATTTTATATATGATATATTAATTTTGCTTTAATTTTGAAAAATAATAATACCATGATCAATATAATAATATTTTAAATTTATGTATTGTATATATGAATTATAATATTTTATCCGACATGAATCATAAAGAAATTTTTTTTTAACAAGTATATGAATTAATATAAAATCATATATATAATTACACAAACACATAAAAAATAATATTATCAAATCTATTAAAACCAACTCCCCCTCCAATGAAATCCCGTTATAAAGGAGAGGTGATATAAGAGTGGCTGACGTTTTTATCATCTTTATAGCAACATTATATACAATGAATTCTCCCAATTTATATAAAAAACGAAGGATAGATTTAAAATAATCTTCTCCTTTTTCCTTAACCAATCAATCTAAAATCTCACTGCATCACCCTTTTGCTACGATTTCTCTAGATCTGGAGTAGTTGTGGTCCATGGCGTCTGTAGCAGCAACTGTCATCGTTCCATTGGGCCTTCTCTTCTTCATCTCCGGCCTCGTTGTCAATCTCATTCAGGTTTTTTTTTTCCTTTTATTTCTTGATAGATTATTTTCTTTTGTTCTACTTCTCAAGGGTTTCGCTTCTTCTTTTGATTTGATTAAGTGCGCTCCCCTCCTCTTTTCTTTGGTAATTTTCGCGCTCTGTTTTTTTTCTTTGTTGAATGTAGCTTTCTGCGTTTTTCCCTTTTTCTCATACGTGTTGCGGTTGGATTGAAAGGAAAATGCTGTTAAATTGGTTTTCCTTTTGAGCTGAATTATAAATGAGCTTGCATATGCAAATTTGGGTTTTGGATTATACTTTGCTTCTGAGCTAATAAAATTTTGGAAAGGAAAAAGATAATTTAAGTTTGGATATTTGATTTCAGCTTTTACAAGCCTCTGCTTTTGTTTGATGGTAAAAATGGTATTTTAAAGTTCATTTTTGTTCCCTATGTATTCGTAACAATCATGATTTATTAGGTTAGATAAGTTAGTTCGGTTTGTTTCATTGGCTGATGTGTAAATTTTGTTTTTCTGACTCTCTTGTTCAATGACCCTTTTCAATCTTATACAATATGATGCCCTTTTTAGGCAGTATGCTTTGTTCTAATTCGGACACTTTCCAAGAAGACGTATAGAAAGATCAACCGTGTGGTGGCAGAGTTGTTGTGGCTAGAACTCGTATGGCTTGTTGATTGGTGGGCGGGAGTTAAGGTGTTAACCAGCTCTTTTGTTTCATTGTTTAATTCTGAAATCCTTTTTGAAGATATTATTCCTTTTGGGCATTTTTGAAGATAGCATAGTTTAATTCTGAAATCCTTTCTGCATTGTATTGTTTTAATTCTGAAATCATAGACAGCATTTTATGACGATCAAATGCTTGAATTGTTTTGTATTTCCATTTCCAACTAGACTTCAAAAAGGTCTCCAAAATAATTTTGCATGCTAAGTATCTAGATGCAGAATCCGGTTAAAGATTTTCTCTGCTTCGTTTGGGACTCTGACTGTGGCAAGTTTTGCCTAACTCTATTTAGGTGAATTATGTTTGCCCAACCCATATTTTTGGTGTCCAGAGGCATCAAGATCAGTGCATTGTCAATTCATCTAGATGTTAGGCAAGTAATGAGTTGAACAATTGGTGTGACCTATCTTCTCTAAGGGCTGATAGGTGTTATATGAATAAGTTGTTAATTATTGACTGTTATTGAGCCAGCCTTTTTTAATGTGGAAAAAGAACTGGTTCCATGGATGCCATTTCTTTAGCGGTCTCCTAGAAACTAACTTTAGATCTTTGATACATATATTTGCAGATTAAAGTTTTTGCAGACCATGAAAGCTTCAGTTTAATGGGTGACGTCAATCTCCTCTACTAGGAAACTTAGGTCTCGGTCTTAGAGTTACATGGATAATGGTTATTGTTCTATACTAAATCTTTTGAATCGTTTTCTTGCCATCTGATATTGTAGATTTTTTCAGGTAAGGAACATGCCCTTGTCTTATCAAATCACAGAAGTGATATTGATTGGTTAGTTGGATGGGTTTTGGCTCAGGTCTGTAATTAACATATTCCAACTCAGAATTTTTTACATACTGTTGAAGCATGCATTCTAAAACATATTTGGCAGTGTTCAGAGATTTTCTACTTGGCACTTTAACTTCATTTCTCTCTCTTAAAATGCTTTCTGGGCTAAGATACAATTACACTTGCTTTTGACAGCGATCGGGTTGTCTCGGCAGTTCATTAGCTGTTATGAAGAAATCATCAAAATTTCTTCCGGTATGTGTTGGTGTTATTTGTTTGAAGTTTCAAATTTCTATCATGAGATTGTGTTTGTTACCAATTCTTTTAGTTTTATATGATATTCATATTTTGTCTTCGATTTAAATGGTAATAGCTAATGACAATGCCAATTGCATGGTATTTTCATACACAGTTGTCTGTGCTTGAGCACACATGTTAATGTGTATTTATTTCGAGTTGTAATTAGTGCAATAGGTAGTTAATGAGATAAGAAAGAATATTAAGATGATTAGTGTGACATTCTGGTTAATGTTCCTTAATTTTATCCTATGTAATATTAGCTTCTGCTTTTAGAACTGGAATAGGATTGTTCACTTGAAAATCTAGTATTCTTAAGTGAACAATCTAGTATTCTTAGTCATAGTTTTAAGTTTGGTTTGAATCACATGTTAAGTGAGCTGTCTGGAGTATGGAGGGATGACCTTAGTATTTTCATGAATATGGTCGTATAAATTAATGAAATTTATCTGGGTGATCCGGTGATGGATAAACAAGCTTCCTGTGGAAGCAGCAGTTTATTCTTTTTCTTGTCTACTTTTGTTCGATTGGCTCAATTTCTTTTTGTTAACATTTTCGTCTTTATAACTAAAGCAAAATGATGAGGCAAGTGCTATTACTTTTATAGTGACAATTAGTGCTGGTCTTTTGAAGATAGGTCATGTAGTGAAGTAATTGAAGTCTAGATTTTCTTTTGCTTTATTTGCCATCTGTGAATCTCACTGTATTAGTGAATACAACGTTTTATTTTAAAATTTTCTTTATAAAGAAGCGAGATTGATTTAGTTGTGTTTAGTTATGAAGAATAGAATCATGTCTGATTGTGCAGGTCATCGGTTGGTCAATGTGGTTTTCTGAGTATCTGTTTCTGGAACGAAGCTGGGCAAAGGATGAGAACACATTAAAGGTAGAAGTTTGCTTTTCCTTTTGTTGATGCATGTTTATTAAGGGTTAGATATAGTGCTGTCAAGGGCACTAGGTGCACTCCAGGTGCTATGACCTCCATATAGCCTGAGGCACAAGGCGCTGAAAAAGTTCTGACCCAACTAAAATAAAGCACTACGTATAATATATATATATAAAAATATTATATGTAATACATGTAAATAATAATTAGTAAGGTAAAATATTTGTTTCAAATTCAGATTGCAGAAATAATGGAAAAAATAAATTACAGTTCAAACTACGAACCCAAAAACAGAGACAAAGCATGAATTGTTCTTGTTGCATTACAATGTTTTAAACTTGTTTTGAATTGTTAACACAATAAAGTTGGTGGGTTGGACTAATTAATAAAATAAAGATGACATTTATAGTATTTTGGCTTTTAAATTAAGCTTAGTTTAAAAAAGCGCCGCTTAAGCGCGATTAAAGCGCTAAGCGACGCGAGCGAGGCCCTTGGCGCTTCAGCATAGCAAAAGTACTACGAATTCATTAAGCGGTAGTAATCGGCGCTTTTGCAGCGCTTTTAGCAAAGCGCTAATCGGCGCTTAATCGCTAGTTTAGAAGATACGATTCTGGGCTTTAGCAGATACGATTTTTGGGCTTATTTAGGGTTTAGCGGGCTATTAAATTATCAGTTTTGGTTTTTTTTTCTTGTAGTAGCTTCACACTAAGAAACGAAATAGATTGGCACAATATAGATTGAATGACATGGTGTTTGTGAAATTCAATCATGCCTTGGAGCGCCGAGCTAAAAGTAAGGAGACCGATCCCATTCTTTTGCAAGATATTGATGAGAGCAATGAGTGGTTGATGGGAAGAATGGAAGAAGATGAAGATGATGATGAGGCGGTGTTTGTTGGTGAGGATTTGACATAGAGTGATGTTGCTAACGCTTCCGGTGCATATGAGCCTAGTTATCTAACTAGAGCATCAAAAGTAGTGAATGATGGAGCCGGACCATCGAGAAATGATAAAGGAAAATCTCCTTCTCATAATCCTATCTCTAGTAGACCATCTCGTAGATGCTTAGTTGATGAAGATGAGATGGAAGAAGATATTGGAGTGTCTAGTGATGAAGGAGATGGTGTTGTCCGAGTTGATGACGATGACGATTTAGAGGATTTTTAGTTATAAGGAATTGAGGGTTTAGAAAAATACTTTTGTTCATCTCACTTTAGACTACTTTTAGTGTAGACCATCTTTTGAGATTAGTATGCTCGTATAGTCGTATGGTTAATCGTATATAAGTATTTAAGTGTTTATAACTTATAAGTTATAAGTAAATTGAGAATTATATTTTGGTGTTTAAGTACTTATAAGTTTTGAATATATGTATTGACACTTTGATATTTAAGTATTTATAAGATAATTTATAAATATTTTGTATTTTTTTGTGAATTTCGGCCTTTCTGGCGCTTCTTGTGCATAAAGCGAGCGCTTTCGCTTAGCGCTTCGGCGTCTAGGACCCTAGGCGCTTTAGGGCGCTTTACGCTTTTTAAAACCAAGAAATTAAGAAAATGGAAACTGAAAAGTCCTAAAGGTGGAGCTGGCTTTTTCTGTGCCTAGAATAAAGCGCAGCTCATTGTGCAAGAAAAGTGTTGCCTCTTTGAAAGAGCCTTGCCTGGGAGGTTTTGAGGCGCTTCTGATCCTTTTTACTGTACCTGAGCCGCTGAGCGCTTAGGCTCACACCTTAACCTCACTGGTTACCGATGTTACTTGGAATCATGTGCAAGTGTCAGACACGGCTATGTATCCGACACAGGTATGGTTAAATTTTTACATATATTTGGATGATCCTTGTAGGTCATATCCCAATATCCAAGTGTCAGTCACAGGCATAAAATGAAGAGTCCGGGCTACATAGCTGGTTACTTATGCCTCTATACAGTATACACATACACTGACCATAAGTATTTGTGTGCTGTGTGCTTGTGCATGCTTGATTTCAAACTACCTTATTTGTCTTGTCAAAATCTTGTGGAATTATATGTGCAGGCAGGCCTTCAACGATTAAGGGACTTTCCACATCCGTTTTGGCTGGCACTTTTCGTAGAAGGAACTCGCTTTACGCAAGCAAAGCTTGTAGCAGCCCAAGAATATGCAACCTCACAAGGATTGCCTGTACCTAGAAACGTTTTGATTCCTCGTACAAAGGTTGGATTTTTGCTGCTCCGGTTTTCTTAAATTTCTTATCATCTTTATCTAGGTATCATTATATATATATATGTATCATGTATGTCTGTGTGTGTGGGGAACTGTCAAGATTCATAATATTCCAACACTACCTTATAGCATTTTGTTAAATTATAGGCTATTTTTCATTTTTTTAATGTATGTGTGTGTTTGGCACTCTTTCAGTTCAAGGTTTATCATATTTTTACCTTAAAGCATTATAGGTAGATTTTGTTGTAAACTCTTGCCAGACAGTTTCTCGCCTTGCAAGTTTGCTTCTTTTGCACATGTTCGATACTTAGCCAGCCTCAGCCACGATATATCTGTGCATCATCACATATGTTCCCGGTCCTAATTCAGAGTTAATCATGTTGGCTGTAGTCTTACTTGTTTGTAATAATGTTCTTTATTTTGTTAATAGCACTCATCTTTTAGGCCCTTGCTAATCATTATTCCATATGAAAAACATGTCTGAGATATCAATATCACTTGTGTTGCTTCAGGGTTTTGTTTCAGCTGTAAGTCACATGCGTTCATTTGTCCCAGCCATATATGACGTGACATTGGCTATTCCAAAAAGCTCACCATCACCTACAATGCTTAGACTTTTCAAGGGGCAACCTTCTGTGGTAAGTCAGAGTTCATCCTAATTGAAAAACAAGTCAAATATTTTTGCATAATTGTGCATGGATTTTGAGTATTTACATTTCTTTTGCCTTGTTTAGTATGATATATCCTTGGGAGAATTTGACGCACATCTCCTCAAGGACTTCATTAAATTATGCATTATCATGAAATTCACTTAGAATAGTCATAGGTCATGCTGAAAGAGCATTTGCTTTACTCATTTCTTTTCCTATGGTGTAAACATATGTGTCACTCTGAAGCTATGATGATTAAACCTACCAGCATCATTGATCTTTGTATTGGGTTTATTCATCTGTTAAGATATATTCTCTCTCGTTTGCAGGTGCATGTACACATAAAACGACACTTCATGAAGGAACTGCCTGAAACGGAAGAGGCTGTTGCACAGTGGTGTAAAGATCTGTTTGTGGAGAAGGTGAGTAATATTCATCTAGTGTCGTATGAAGACACTGTTATAGGTGGTCTTTAATGCATGTCTAAGATGAATTTTATTCTCAAAAATGAAAAGAATAATTACTCTTAACCTTGACAAGCTTGTGTATTGTCGTGTTTTTATGTGTGAATTAATCGTATATGTTATTGTGCCATGCATGAGTTTCCTACTTATTGTATTGTTTCTCTTTTTTTCGTATAGGACAAGTTGTTAGACAAGCACATAGATGATGATACTTTCAGTGACCAACCATTGCAGGATATTGGTCGGCCAATCAAGTCTCTTTTGGTGAGGCTCTTTCTTTTTCATATTAACGAATCTTCATTTTGATTTTCTTCAGTTAATGTGGCATTGTGTAGTTATTTCAGTGTTATAAAAGTTGTTTCTGGAACTAACATGACTTGGTCAGGTTGTATCCACTTGGGCATGTCTCATGGCTTTCGGGGCTCTCAGATTTCTCCGATTGTCTTCGCTTTTATCCTCATGGAAGGGCATTGCATTGTCAGCATTTGGCTTGGCCGTTATTACCGTTCTCATGCAAAACATGATTCGCTTCTCTCAGTCAGAGCGTTCAACTACTGCCAAGGCTGCAGCAGGAAAACTCAAGGAAGGGGAGAGTTCAGCGGCAAGACAGGAGAAACAGCAGTAGATCGAGCTCCCTCCTCCGTATGGCCGGGAATTTCATGTCTGTATCACATCCACTTACATTAGTCCGTTTTCATTTGACATGTTTCCAAACATATTTCTTTTGGTCATGAGATGACAGAAGTGTATGCATTATCAATTCTTTGCTTTTATGTGGTAAATTTTGTATTAGACAGTTAAAATGACAGTAGCAAAAAATGTTTGTATTAGGATAATATGTGCTATACTGATTCGTAACATATTCAAATATTCTTCTTGTGCTTGTGATTAGGAGGGCATGAAAAAAAAATAGGCTCGAAATCTGATCTATGTACTGTAATGTAGCATGGCCAAGATGAAACATTATGACATATATGTAATTTGTGATTTAGCCCCCTCTCTATTCATTCAGGCATAATTTCATAGAGATGACAGTCCTTATTCACATACCAGATCCTTCTCTCTCTATTTTCTATTTCAGTGTGTCATACTGTCATAGTTCATAAACATATTAGTTAGAAACTTATAAGTGAAAAAAATAAATAAAATTTATCTATAACATGGATCATAAAAATTATGGAGAAATTAAATTAAAATTTTAATTAAAATTTAAGATTAAATTAGAAATTAACAATTTTTATGAATGTAACAAGAGTGTGAGCAGAACATAACAATTAAAAGTTAACAGCCAAAATCAGAAGAGATAGAAGAGAAAGAACCATTTAATAGAATTTAGGCTTGTTAAAATTATATTCTTACACACGTGTTGCAGACGGTGGTGGATTCTTCCTCTGATAGATACTCCGAACACGCTACGCAACAGATCCCGTTGCCACAAAAAAGGAAAATAAATAAATATCACACCGTTAGATTCATGTGGGCCCGAATCCACCAGAATCCCGCCAGCAAAATATAGAAAGAAAATTCACTCTCAGCTTCTTACAGACTTAAAAGATAGATTTCCCCACCATCCAAACATTATTATTCCTTCTTTCGAAAAATAATGGAGCCTCTCTGCCCGAATTTTGATCTCCTGAAATTCTCACGGCTCACTTCGGTTCCCCTCTTTTCTCATCGATTCTCGTCCATGAATCTTGGCATTCATAAAAGACCGAGTGTCTCATGTCCCACCGCTTCTTTTAACCGCAACGATAACCATCACCCGTCGGTTAAAACAGAGGCCCCTACGCAACAATCCACCGCTCATGACCTGATCAAGTCGCTAACAAAAGGTTTTGTCGGTTTCGCCGCCGCCGCCACGGCTCTGGCCTCCGTTTGTAGTGATTCTCCGGCTTTTGCTGAGTCCCTCACCGTTGCTTTTCCTGTTTCCCGCGCTCAAGAGGTGTTTCGTTTTTCTATTTTTACTGTCCGACATGGTTTTAGACATTGAACTGAGTTCTTGGTGTGACTGTCGAACTTAAATTACTGACTGATTAGAGGTTTTTGTGTTAGGTGAACACAGTTCAAAGAACTCTTGTGGAAGCTTGGGGGTTGATAAGAGAAACATTCGTTGACCCTACATTTAATCATCAAGGTAATTGAATTGTTTCTCGTTCTCTTTTTCTTTCACTACACGAGGAATTGAGCAATTGTGTGTTTTTTTCTTTTCTTTCATTAAAAATAGAAAATAGAACACGCACTAAGATTTTCTAGTTTTCTAAGTGAGTTTTTTTTTACTTTTATTGTATTCAAGTTAGGCTCTTACATTTGTATTAAATAAATCCTTAGTCTAAATGATATACTGACATTTGTTACAGTCAACGCTGACTTGGATTTTTTTTTCTCCACATAGAAGCTGCTATGGTCTATGCTTGTGGCTGAAGTTGGAAAAATTAGATTTAAATTCCTTATGGATAATTAGATTTTCACAGATCGTTGGGAAGGGAGCGGTATATATACATAGAGTATTATGTTTTTTTTTGTCCCCTACTTCTGTTATTTTGGAACTAAGAAAGAACATATAGTGAGTAAATAAATTATTGAGAGCTACCTTATTGCAGACTGGGATTTGAAGTTGCAGCAAACCATGGTGGAAATGTTTCCCTTGAAGTCAGCTGATGCCGCATACGGTAAAATCAGAGGAATGCTTTCAACTCTTGGAGATCCCTTCACTAGGATTATCAGTCCAAAGGTATAACAATCTGCATCTTATGACTTGTGAGAACTGTGCTTTGGTTTAGCTAGGATAATTTTGTACCATACTGATGCTAAAAAACAAGATGAATTGTGACGTGGCTACTCATTTGTTATGTCTTTTCATCTTGCCAAGTTACTAATTGTTCTTAGGGTTACTTAATTCTTGGTGATTACAATATTTTTTATTTATTTTTTGATGGATCTACACGAAGGATTACCATACCATTCTGTCACATTCTCTCTTTCAGGAGTACCAAAGTTTTAGAATTGGGAGCGATGGGAATTTGCAAGGAGTTGGCTTATTCATAAGTGTTGAACCAAAAACTGGTCACTTGGTGAGTGCAAAAATCTTATCTTTCAATGCCAACCTGCGGGAGGAGATCAGGAAAAATCTGTGCTCCAGTGGCAATCAATTTAAATTTGTTTAGTTCATATAAATGACAACGGATTGGAGGTGACGAATTTTCCTTCTGGATTATTGAAAACTGATTAGTGTAAATTTCTCCCGATAAAGTTTTCAATTTTTTTGGCACTAATGAATGATTTCTACCTTCTGCTCAAATTTGATAGTCATTATGTATGTTAAAATGTTTCCTATTTGACATTAATAATAAGCTCAAGCATTGTGATTATAATTTATTTAAACCATGCAGGTTGTTTTGTCATGTGTAGAGGGTAGCCCCGCTGCTCGTGCTGGTATACATGATGGAGATGAGTTGATTGAGATTAATGGTATGTATGTTATTGGGCTTTTACCTTGCCCCTCCACGGTTACAAATTACAATTTTCGTAATATATCATGGCTGAATTTATTTAGGACTGTTTTTGCTTTATCAATTCAAATTCAGAAATACATGACGTCTATATTTCTTTCTTGAAGATATGATTCATGAGTGAAAACATTCTTTTTTTCCAAATATGGTTCTTATGTTAGAACATAACTCTGCTTAAATTTTCATGCTGTTTTTGATGTTTCAGGGCAGAGACTTGATGGTGTTGACAGTGAATCAGCAGCCCAGAGGCTTAGAGGCCAAGCCGGAACATCGGTTACAGTGAAGCTCCACAGAGTAATTATCCATCCTGATTCTCTGTAATCTAAATGAAGATTCAGTAATCTGCATAAAATATGATCATTTTTATCTTGACAGGACATGTAGTGATTTGAGATCAGGCGTTCTTTAAATTCATTGCACTAAGATCAAATACAGACGCGTTAAACTTGAGCATCTGTTGAAGACATTGACTGAAATAGAGTTGACAATGCTCTATCCCTCCCTTTATCATGAACTAGAAGTTATAATCTCTTTGCATAAATAGTGAATCTTGAGTCAATCAAAAGAATGAAATTGCCAAGAGGAGGTGAATTTGCAAATAATTGTGGAAGCTTATGGAAAATAGAAAAATGAACACAAGAAATTTAAAATGGTTCGACTTTTTAAATCAAATTCTACGTCCACTACCTTAGCTATCCAAACTAAGGATTTTCACAAATTCTCTAATTTGCATCAACCTTTGAGGACAAGGTGTAACCTTACAACTCCTTCAAGAATTATACCCAAAATTCTTGAGACACTCTCCTAAGAGAAAATTACAAATTTGCAAATTTAGAAAAACCTCACAAGAAAATTGTAAAAACCTCGCAAGAAAATTGTTTGTACAAGAACAAATAAGAACACTTGACAAATAAAACAAATGAGTACAATAATGTTTTTTGAAAGCAAATGAAGGATATTTACTTTGACTTTGGTTCAATGTGATTGCTTTGGCTTTCTCTTTGATCTCTTGTCTTCACATATGACTTGAAATCTTGTTTTTATACCTCTTCATTCAACTCTAATCGTTTTAGTTGCTGTGGGAGTTAATAGAGCCGCTGGGATAAAATTTCCCACAACAAATGCTATCCAAACACCTTGAGTACCGGTACTTGTACTTGGAGTATCATACTGCCTGCATTAAATACAAAAATTCTAACCGTCGGGAGGGGAGTATCGGTATTCCAACTTGAGTATCGATACCTGCACAATATTGGTACCAAAATAGGTTATTGGATTTTTGTTTTCCAAAATCACAAAGGGAGTATCGGTAGTAACGGTACTACTTTTAGTTTAGAAAGTCAAACCACTTTAAATTCCTTGTACAAGATTTCATTTTATGGTTGCTTGCACAACAAAGTTTTTAAAGACCAATTCACCCCTCTTAGCATGTATTGGTTATTTGTAAGAGCTAACAGTGAATCTAAGGTAAGCCTGGTCCTAAAAAATTTCCTCAGCACGTGGAAGATGAAATTTATCATATCTTTACTTGGTTGAACTTTGCTGCATAACCTATGTCACAAAAGCAAGCAATATAGTATTGTGAAAGTGGCATAAGTGTTTGTATCTCCTTTTTGGTGACATTCTTATGTTTCATTTCAACTCTTGAGTTCATATTTTATTTTTGGGTATTACTTGTTTTAGACAGAATTAGGCCAGGCGATCTAAATAAATTATTGGTCTCGCATAATGCTTATATGCTTAATAAAACTTATGTTTTGCTCTGCAGGGAAATGGTTCAGGAAGTGGTTCAGGAAGTGGTTCTGGTATCAAAGAGGTAACAAACCGTTCAATGTTCATTATGCAGGCATTTCAATGGTGTTTTTTAGGGCTCCTTTTGATTGTTTCTTTTCCTTTGTTTGTATATATAGAATATCATTTTCAGAAAGGTTCATTTATAAATAGCTACTTCTTTCAAAATATTGTTTGTTTCTGTGTTCAAATGCCTTTTTTTCCCCTTCTGTTCTTTTTTTTTTCTTTTTGCTTCTAGAAGGGAAGTAACAATCACTTGCCACCTATCATTTTTTGTTTGAAGTTTTACGCTATTGATTTGCTTCCCAACAAATAGAAAGGAAAGTTGAAAATTGGCTATAGTAGTCAAGGAATTATGCATACATTACTAGATTATAAGTATAATGGAATCTTTTAGTATATTTTTTTATCTGTTAATTTTGAAACATGCCTGTTCTACTTGAAGGTCAAACTACCTCGTGAGTTGATTAGGCTTTCACCAATATCCAGTACTGTCATCCCTCATAGAACCCCAGATGGCCAACTAACAAAAACTGGTTACGTGAAGCTATTGACATTCTCGCAGGTAATCACCAGTTAACTAGCCTTTTTTTGTCATGCAAAAGTGACTGTGAAAGTAATGATCTTGATCTATTTTACTACCAGATAGGTTAATAAAGACATTCCTCTTCTTCTTTGACAGACTGCTGCTACAGATATGAAGAATACAATTCATGAAATGGAGAACCAGGGTGTACAATCGTACATACTGGATTTGAGGAACAACCCGGTTATTTTTTCAGTCCTATATTTGTTGATTGAATATAATTTTGATGGAATTTCTGTCCTTAAATTTCTCCTCCCAAATCATTGTGCAGGGAGGTCTAGTGAAAGTTGGACTGGATGTTGCTCAGATATGGTTAGATGGGAATGAGACTCTCGTGAACACTATTGACCGTGATGGGCATATGTCCCCCATTAACATGGCCAATGGTCATGCTTTAACGCATGATCCTCTTGTTGTTCTTGTGAGTATTGACACTTGATATTCAAAATTTTCCTGAAGGGAATAATTCAAGATCTTAATAAAAATTCAAGGGGTTAAATGTCGAAGTTTCATCACATATATCAATCTCACGTAAAAGGATTTGAAAATAAGTTTAAAAAAATTGATTTTTCTGGTTTTCTATTAATTCAACCAGTACGTTGAGTATTGGACCGCATGGACAACCAGCTACTTCAGTCTAGTTTTGACAACATTGGAACAATTCTTATTTTTATGTTCTTTCCTTTTTGTGTATCCATGTGTGTGTTAGCGCATAAGTTTTCTGAACAGTTTATTGCTTCTAGTCCTATATCACGGCTTAGCCGGATCATTGGGCAACCATTCTTGTTGTCATTATGCAAATTTTATCAGAACATGCATCCACTGTCATCTAATATGAACTTTATATCTGAAAGTCCCTTTGTTCTTGTTCAACCTTCTACTGTAACTAACTATGGAAAATGTAACCTAGAACACGACACCTTTTCTAAAACAGAGAGTTTTTGACTAGCTCATGTGTTAGTTGACAGGTCAGCCAGAGTATGATAGGTATTTTAATATTTAGCTTCTCAGTTCAGATCAACCTAAATTGAACTAGTTAACCTTTTTTCTTAGTTTATGTACTGTTTTCTCAACATAGATAACGATTCGGTTGAGTGGATGAACTACCACAAAAAAGATGACCTCTGGTAGCCAAGAAATATGAATTTGAGAAATGCATAAGAATGATCGTAACTCTATGTCGTATCTTCACCAAATTGAAATACTTTTAGAATGTTTTTGCTAAGGTTTTTACTAGATCATTTCACTCTCCCTGAAACTTGAAGCTGAATCTCGGAAATTTTGTTGAAAATCTGAAAATGTTTATTGCATCTGTTTATTTTAATTTTCGTTATGACTTTAAAGAACTTAAACAGATCATTTTACTTTGTAATAGGTGAATGAGGGAAGTGCGAGTGCAAGTGAGATTTTGGCAGGTGCACTGCATGATAATGGCCGAGCTATCCTTGTGGGCCACAAGACTTTTGGTAAAGGGAAAATTCAGGTAAGTTTAATGTTCAGTTGGTGAGATGGTAATTCATCTTTCCATACCTCATTTAATTGCTCTGGATATTGGTTAAAAACTGGTGGATAATTATCCCATCCAAAGCAATGGGACTTAGCACCAATGGTGCTTTTTTTTCTTTTGGCGGTGCTTGTTCTGTAATTCGTTTTGGCACCACAAATGCTATTAATGTGAATGACTTTATATGATGTATGCCTGTCAATATTATCCAGTTTTGCTTTAATCCTACAAGTGATGGATCGCATTCCAATTGTTTTCTAGTACTGAACTTGGCCATTTTGTAGACTTTAATTGAAGCCTTAATCATTCAAAGCTTATTCGACATAACTGTTGAATGAATTTTGCTGCAGAGTATCACAGAGCTGCACGACGGATCTGCTCTTTTCGTAACAGTTGCAAAGTATCTATCACCTGCTCTTCATGACATAGATCAAGTTGGCATAACGCCTGATGTACAATGCACAACTGACATGTTCAATCCACCCAAGGAAACATTGAAAGAGAAAAGCCCGGCTTTGTCTCTGGAAGCTGATTCATGCATCATGGTAGCAGAGCATGAGTTGGACACCCAAAAGCCTAAAGGTACAGCTTCTTGAAACGCCCGAGTTTGCAGGGTTGAATTTTCCGATCCTAGGAACCAGATAAACTGTATGCTTTACTCAACTCTTAGCTAGTACAGTCAATCTTAAGTTGTATATCAGTAGGAATTGGACCAAACATTGTACCACTTTTGCCTCCTGCGTAAGGCAGTCCCGTATGCTGGGGGAAAGTAACAAACAATTGCAGATGATTTGTATAAACAATTCATTCTATTTATAGGGAAAAGATGAAAGAAGTTGTATTGCATTTTCTAAATGTTGTTTGTTCTTATTTTTCAACTTGCAAGAAGTTCAATCAATTCATTCTAATTCATGCAATAAGAGATCGTCATTGGTACTAACAACCTCAGTCCAGTTGTGTTGCCAGAGCTCCTTTTGATGGTACATAAATATTTGGATATGTAGTTTTCTGTATAATTTTTGGTTTGTTGCAAATATTGAAAATTATTGTTGTAGTATTATAATCTAAAAATTCAATTACAATAATAAAGTTAAAAAAATTGTGAAATTAAAATGGAACCTGTAATCGGATGGAACTGATTAAATAGAAGAAGAGTTTTGTTGAGGTTTGTATGAACAGTTTTCTTAAGACATATTCATCCTCTCCCCGGTGCTTTGAGTAACGTTAGACGTCGGTCTCCCAGGATACAACAACAAACGTTCACAACAATAAGCACAACCGTAGTAAACAATCGAACACAATCTTTGTCTTTATTTATCACAGGAAAATGACTTTGGAAGAATCGGAGAATTCAAAGGAAAGTATTTGAAAGAAAATTGGAAAAGTTGTGTGTTGAGATGTGTCACAACTTAGCCTTTATATAGGGAGAGGAATTTGTATTGAAAGGTTAAGACCTTTAAATGAAATGTTGAACTATATTTTGATATAACAATTTAAGGCAAAATGTTTTTGGACTTGAATTGAATTTATTCAAAGTCTTCAAAGTTTTTCAAAAATAATTTAAAGTCCATTTAACTTGGAATTGAGCACAAAATGTTTTTCTGGATAAGAAGTACCGATACTGTTTTTACAGTATCGATACCTCATGAACATTATCGATATTGTTCATATGTACCGATACCAAAGGTAAGGGAAGTATCGATACTCACTAGGTAGTATCAATACTACCAACATTGCTTAAATTCCAAAATGCAAAAATGATACCGATACCCAATGAGGTACCAATACTACTTTATATAGTAGTATCGATACCATAGGCTTAGTATCGATACCATCAGGCCCAACGGCTAGTAACGACTAGTTTTATTTAAAAATAACAAAGGAAGTACCGATACTCCCTGTATGAGTACTGATACCCTCTGTACTGGGCATTTTTATTTTGCAGAGAAAACATCCACAACGGCTCTAAATCACTCCCAATGGCTAGAAACGACAACAAACACATTCCAACATATAAATATAAGTTCAAGACACTTGAAGAAATGTTAGAACACCTATCCAATCAATCAAATACAAGAGAAGAGTTTTTCACTCTTTATTTCTATTCCTTGTAAATATTTTATTCTTGTGAGCTAAATTCTTGTAAACACCCTACCTTTTAGATGTTTTATTTGTTTACATCTTTTTCATTGTAAAGAGATTTTGGTTCTAGCTGAGCCTTTGAAAAGCTAGGGAGTCTTGTAAAGGTTATCTCTTTGTCCTTGAAAAAAAGAACAAATTAGTGAATTTGTTGGAAAATTCTTAGTGGGGAGCTAAGGTAGTGGAGGTAGACTTAGTTGAGAAGTCGAACCACTATAAATCGTTGTGGCATTTTTTCTATTTTTTATTCTCCTAACTCCCTAAACAATTTTTTGCCAATTCACCCCTTGTGCAATTTTTAGTTGATCAAATTGAGCTTCAAAAATCCCAAAAATTGGTATCATAGTTTGACTCATTAGAAGGTTTAACAACCTTAATACGATCCTAGAAGAAGCTCTACCAATTCCCGACGCAACCAATAAGAAGATGGCTTCGACTTCCGACTCTTACTACATTGAAGACTCACAACCGGTCAACAAGCCACCTTACTTCAATGGAGTTAATTATGCCTATTGGAATAATAGGATGATGCTCTTCATTCAAGCCAATGATCTAGGAGCTTAGAACTCAATCATGAAGGGATACTCTATACCACCCGATGAGATGAATGATTGGAGTGATGAAGAGAAGAAGAAGTTCTTACTTAATGCTAAGGCTATGCACATCATATTTTGTGCATTATGCCCGGATGAATATGGAAGAGTCTCCTCTTGTTCCAATGCCAATGAGATATGGGATAAGCTCCAAGTCACTCATGAAGGAACAGATGAAGTGAGGGAAACCAAGATAAGTCTTCTCAACCATAGCTACGAGAATTTCAAGATGAAACCGGATGAAAATATCAAAGCTATGAAGGATAGATTTTCCGTGATTGTCAACTATCTAAAGGGATTTGGAGAAGTAATCACTAACGAGAAGCTTGTGAGGAAGATGATCTACTCTCTTCCAAAGTCGTGGCAATCAAAGAAGACGACGATCATTGAGGCAAAGAATCTAAAGTCTCTGACTCTCGATGAGTTGATTGGTTCTCTTCTCACTCATGAGCTGATGATGAAGGAAGATGAAGAAGATAAAGAGAATCAAAATAAGAAGAAGAATGAGGTAGACATTGCCTTCAAATCCACCAATGAGAGCAATCAAGATTCAAGTGAAGAGATGGATGAAGACGATAATGAAGAGGAAGAGATGGCCAAGCTCTTCAAAAGATTCAAGAGATTAATGACTTCTAAGGAAGTGAAACATGAATCGAGTAAGAATAAGAGTCCCCAGTAGTGCTTCAATTGTCAAAGAACGAGGCATGTCAAGTATGAATGTCCCCTCCTAAAGAAGAAGTGATAAAACAAGAAAAAGGCATTTGTGGCAGCTTGGAGTGATGAAGATGACTCAAATGATGAAGATGAAGTAGCCAACCTATGCCTCATGGCTATCCAAGAAGATTCAATGGTAACTTCTAACTCAAATGAATTAGATTCTTATTCTTTTGATGAGTTACAGTTGCTTACAATAAGTTGTATTTGGAATTTGAGACCATGCATTCCAAATATAAGAAATTAATTTTCAAAACTTAAAATTGAAAATGATTTGGTTTTGAAAACAAAAATTGATTTTGAAAAACAAAATGAAATTTTGAAAAATGATTTAGAACTTTCAAAAGTCAAAATCAATGATGTAGAAAAAGAAAATTTTGATTTGAAAGTTAAGCTCGAGAGCTTAACAAAAGAAAAAGAATTAATTTCTAAAAACAACTTATTATGTTTAAAAATGGCAAAATGCTCACATTGCCATTTTCATGGTCATTTGGAACATACTTGTCCTTTGAAGAAAGGAAAACGTTTTAAAATTAGACAAATATGTGTTCTCAAGGGAACAAGAGGAATTGAAACTAACGTTCAAGGATCCAAAGAAATTTGGATACCAAAATCTACTTAAATGTCTCTTATAGGTGTGTGGGAGTAATGATGATGAAAATGAAGATGTTCAAATGCTCTAGCCACACTTGAAAAGGAATGGGTAACCTCTAAGCTTAATGCTTTTGCTTTTTGATTATTTGGTTGCTCATTTAGGTTTATACATGCATGAGTTTTGACTTTAAATGATCTCATGTTTTCTATCTCATGTATGTTGAAAAATGTGTTATGATGAAAACTCTAAAGTTTTAATGATTTTTCATAATTTTTAGTTCATCATAATAAATTTTGGTCAAAATTGGTTTTAAATGAAAATGATATCTCTCTAACAATTGATATCAAATTTCAAATGCTTTGATTTTACAAATTTTAATTTTTGACCTAAATTTCAATGTTTATGCATATAACTTATTTCAAATGATATCTCTCTAACAATTGATATCAAATTTTCTTTTAATGCATAACATTTTTGGATAACTTTATGCATATGCACTTAATTTCAACAATTGGTTTTGCATAAAGTTTATTTTAGACTTGGATATATTGAATTTCATGTGCTACTAACATGTTTGTTATTCTTTTTTTAAATTCAATTTTTTAAGTGTCATGTTTTTTTAAAGTCAAATGTTTTTTTGGAATGCATTTTTTGAGGGGGAGTCTTAGATTTTTCAAATGTTTTTAATGTCAAATTTACCTCTTACTCTCAAATGTTATTTTTTTTACTTTAAAGTTGAATTATTTTTGATATAACAAAAAGGGGGAAAAGTATGGGTTTGAAAAATTCAATTTCTAAATGAAAAAGAGGGAGCTGAAAATTTTTCAACAATTGACATATTTTTCATTAAATATTTTATTAAGGGGGAGTTTTGCAAAAAACAATTTTTTAAATGTTTTGTTTTAAGGCAAAATGTTTTTGGACTTGAATTAAATTTATTCAAAGTTTTCAAAGTTTTTCAAAAATAATTAAAAGTTCATTTAACTTGGAATTGAGCACAAAATACTTTTCTGGACAAGAAGTACCAATATTGTTCTTACAGTATCGATACCTCATGAACAATATCGATACTGTTCATATGGTATCGATACCAAAGATAAGGAAAGTATTGATACTCACTAGGTAGTATCGATAATACCAGCATTGCTCAAATTACAGAATGCAAAAATGGTACCGATACCCAAAGGGGTACCAATACTACTTTACATAATAGTATCGATACCATCAGGCCCAACGACTAAAAACGACTAGTTTTATTTAAAAATAACAAAGGTAATATCGATACTCCCTGTAGGTGTACCAATACCCTCTATACTTAACAGTTTTATTTTGTAGAGAAAACATCCCCAACAGCTTCAAATCAGTCCCAACGGCTAAAAACGACCACAAACACATTCCAACATATAAATATAAGTTCAAGACACTTGAAGAAGGGTTAGAACACCTATCCAAGCAATCAAACACAAGAGAAGAACTTTTTACTCTTTATTCATATTCTCTTGTAAATATTTTGTTATTGTGAGCAAAATTCTTGTAAACACCCTACCTTTTAGAGGTTTTATTTTTTTTACATATTTTTCTTTGTAAAGGGGTTTTGGTTCTAGCCGAGCCTTTGAAAAGCTAGGGAGTCTTGTAAAGGTTATCTCTTTGTCCTTGAAAAAGAAAGAACAAATTAGTGAATTTGTTGGAAAATCCATAGTTAGGAGCTAAGGTAGTAAAGGTAGACTTAGTTGAGAAGTCAAACCACTATAAATATCTGTGCCAAATTTTCTATATTTTATTCTCCTAACTCCCTAAACAAATTTTTTCCAATT